AAGAAGAATTTTCCCACAATGATATGAGTTGAGCTGACGTTTCCGTTCAATTTCACATCCTGTATGAGAACAACTTTTGGGAAAGCAAAGCTATGTGAAATTGAATAGAAACGTCAGCTCAACTCATATAATTGTGGGGAAATGCTTCTTCTACCAGTCCTTCATCCCCTTAAACAAAATAGGGTGAATACATCTTATACTACTGATTTAGTGGTCGTCCCGAAAACAATACTTAATGGGAAAACCAAAACAGAGAGCCAAGCAAGAGAAGAACATTTTCTGTCGGAGAGTAGTCTCGCTGAAAGAAATAGCTGCAGCGTAGAAATGCGATCAAATCAGATTGGAAAAGTGATCATAAATCGCTTAAAAGTTTAGGACATGACAAGTGAATTACTGACAATGAGCAGCCCAAGGACGAGCTGACTGGTACCCTGTCCGTGTACCCAAAACGATAGCCCTAATGATGGAAGCTTGGTCAGGTTAAGTGGCTTAGCGAGATTTAAGGACTGATAGTTGACTTTTCCCGGATTACCATTGAATTCGGCCTCGCCTTGCTTCCAAAAATGTCTTATTCTCGAGACTGGAATGGACTGCGATTTCGAACTCGTTTGACCGGCTCTAATCAGCACCCCCAGCGGTTTATGAGCCCGGATCTTAAGTATCCTCGCCACGTTGCCCCTCAACTTCACGTCAATGGGTGCCAGGTTTTCACAGGTCAAGTGTGACTTTCGAGGCAAGCCAGGGCCCGTTCAAGTCTCATTTTATAGTGGGATTGTCGACTAAGCAAACATGTGCTTGACATTCCAATCGACGATATTACTTACTCTCGATATCAGTAGTTCTCGAGACTCTGAGCTCTTACTTAAGAATTACTGATAGTTTCCGATATTATTGATGTAGAAAATAAGGTATCACTAGTCAGTCTCGACCCGGTCAGGCTTCATCAGAGAGGGTCCCTTAAAATGGATGCAATAAAGTGTAAGCCCCTTCAACCCCCTTTTCGCGTCTCATCCACAGAGCCATCCGATCGCAATGTTGCCTCCATTCGGAAATGCAAGTCATTCAACCCGACCAAATTGCGACCAAACCCACTACAACACCATCCTGGTCCTCTTATCTATGATAAGAGAAAATTTTTTTGCAGTGCTAACAAACAGTTTAAAAGGTATTTGCTCTAAAGTGTATGACGCTGCAGCAGTAAATTTCGTTGTCAAGGTGCCATATCGTCAAAGTTGAAATTCTGTTGACAACCAAGTGAAGAGCAGCGTTTAAAGGGCAGTGCAGTCTCTTCATCGTTCCAGTCCCTCGCCAGCAGCCCCAAGAAGACTCGAATAGAAGATGCCCAACTTGTGAGGGAAATAGGTCATACCACCGACCACATAAACCCAAAACCCTCCAGGTTACACGACAAACCAAGCTGTCACTTTACGTGGCAACTTTGGTAGAAGGAAGCAAACATATGCTCACCGATAAAGCATATTATTGAATAAAGTTTATATTAATTTTCAACTTGCCTGTATCTGAATCGCCTATTTTAGGGTGTCAAAAAGACAGGAGCTACATGAAAAATGTAGTCAGGACAAGAAAATAAAGGTTATTTGGGCTTGGAAGCAGTTTGTGACAGAACTCAGATGAAGGATTGTTGTGAAGACTTGCTCTTCATATGGAAGTACACTAGGAAGAAATTGGTAGGTCAATCTGACCAGAAGACGTCGGCTGATTCGCGTTGAACTGCAGTCGTTTTGCCTTAATACGACTTTCAGGTTGATGCAATCCACGAGACATCCTCCAACCTTTCGAGCGAAGACGGGCTGACCTTTCGTTCGTCATGCCACATGACGAACCTCGTCAGAGCCGGGACTCATTCTCACAAAAGCTTCAAGTAAACAATAAGTTAAGAAGACAAACGGGCTTTTTCTACATAAAATCTACACTCATTGCCAGAAAAATGTATATCATAGATGGATATAGCAAGGTTTGGTTAATTCACGTATATTCTGTGTGTGTCTGTGTGTGTATGTATGCTAATGTCTGTACGCAAAACCGGTCATAATTGAGAGTAATTAGGTAAGAGCATAAAATCAGCCCCGGGTCATCAAGGCTTAGTGACCCATAGACAATAAGAAAAGAAAAAAGCATGACCGAGATTGCGTTAGTCAGTAAGTAAGCCTGGCTAAATGGACGAGGTGTAGGTGTGTACATGTGAAAGTCAGGTCACGAAACAACCAGTCTGTAGAATTGTGTTGAGTGAAGAGATTGGAAGGTCGGTTCCTCGAGAAGACGACGGCGGATTCCTCTTGATCAGCTGTCGATCGGCTTTACTGGAACATTCATGTTTCCGAACTAATCTCCTTCGCATGTAGAATTAAGGCTCAACGACCCGCACGTCTATTTTGGCTGATGAGCTTGACATGTCTGTTGAACGACTGTTAACTTGGAT